GAATTTATGGATATATTTAAGGGGTAAACGTATAGTTGAGGGTACTCCTTGGCAATTTTTGGTGGTACATGGATACCGAGTTTATACAATTCTTTGACTCATTATTTTGATTTGCAAAGCGGAGATTTTTGTGCCAAAATAACAAGATAAACAATTGCACAAACTTGGTATCCATGTACACATCAACCTATTTTCACTTTAAAAAAAATGCACAAAAATGGCATTGCGCATTCGTTTGACTTTATCCATGTACACGTTGACCTATTTTCACCTAAAAAAAATCCCAGAATTGCACAGACTTGCATTGTGCACTCCCTTCACTTTGTCCATGTACATATCGATATATTTTCACTTTAAAAGTCAAAGAAGCACCCAATTCTACAATACAGGCAAACAAAAAATACATAATGTCAATAAATTACATTTTAAACCAAACAGTAAAATAATATAAAAAAGGAAAAACATGTTATACATTTAAGTACTACAAAAAGCAAATATCCACTTACCCTAGTTAGAAGTTCCTTCGTCTTTAGCCTGTGGCACACAGAATTCCTTAACAGCATCCAAAAACTTTCTAAAATTATCTGAACTCGAATTCGTATATCGGCGTCGCCACATCTGAACCTTTCTTCCTACAAACCCATTCAAATCCATCTAAATGGTTTTTACTTTCAACTAGACGCATATCCTTCTCCTACATACAGGACACTTATAATGGCTACCAAGTAAGCCTTCATTTACACACTAGTCAAATTAACACTCTTTTCCCCTTTCGTACGGAAACTTCAAATTAATCTTACTATATTCAGCCATTCTACTGTCTAAACAATAAAACCAACACACACCATAAAAGCGCTTACAAAACATCCCATGATTCAAAATTTCCCAGAATCTTGCACCCGATTATGTCACAATAGGATTTCCATAACTTTCAACTACTCGGGCTACCATAAGTGAAACAACAACTTCGCCATGATACAAGGGGTACCTTAAAGTCTAACCATAATTTGCCTTATTGTTGTTATTGTAATTACAATGCGGTGACTAGACCAAGGGTTCTCAACCTTTTCCTTCCATTGACTGTTTTTTTAAGGAATAGTTTTCTTCATCAACTCCCTTGTATTTTTAAATGATTGCATATAGCTAAGGATAACAGGTTATGATGAAAATTTTGAAAAATGGTTTATTAGATTTATGTTAATTTTTTAATAATTTTTTTAAAAATAAGCACTATTTTACAAGTGTATACATGTGTTCAGAAACAACATCACAGATTCTAATTGCAAAAAATATTGATTGTAATTTATGTGACTGTCACTGTCATCGATGTAGTAATGCATTTTGTTTTTAATATTTGATATAAAACTACTTAATGTAATTTTTAAATAGCCGCATTCAACGTGTTTCCTCATTTCAATTCTAGTTTTGCATTCTTCATAATTTTTTATTGTGTTTTACTTTTTTATATTGTATTTATTTAAGAAATTTGCATATTAAAAAAATATTGATTTTAAAAATATGTTAAATAATTTTACAGTATTTCTCCCCTTATATTAATTTTATATGGTTGCTTCTTTACTATGTGATGCAGCCAGCATCATCAATAAACAGTTAATTATTAATTTTACTAATATATATATATTTTGGTAATCAGTGTTATCTTGATTATGTTGATTAATTGTCATTGCATGCTTGGCTATCAAACTTTAGTTGATCCTTTGATCATCAGTGACCCCTTTAAAAGGTTCATCAACCCCAGGGGTTAATACCTTGTTGGTAACCCCTGGACTAGATATTTCAAACTGTGCACATAGTCCTGCATTTTAGTGCAGTCTCCCACTTTGGGGTTGGCTTTGCATTCTGTAAATACTTCTTTCTAAATTACATGTATCATGCTGTATCAGTACTTTTTTTTTGTGCAAATTTTCAGTACTCTTCTGTTATTGGGACCGGTTTCAGAAATGTATGTGTCATGTATGCTTATATATATATATATGTATGCACACATAGGAGCATGTGTGCATATACACACAATATGCATATACATATACACACATGCATACTTACATACAGTTCTCAATCTGACCCTGATAACAGAAGAGTACCAATTTTTTAGGCTGAAATTACTTGTTTGTACAAACTATATTCTAAAGAGCTATTGAAATCCGCTTTGTTTTTAAAGAATTTTTTTTTCCTAATTCTTGCCTAAGAGAAGCTACATCACTTTTCTGCACAATAAAAAAATTATATATTATTATGAACAAATTAATTTCTATATTGGATGTCAGTTAAGAAGTACAGTGCTTATTTTCTTCTGTACACTGTAAAATGGCTGTATGTGATGAGATTACTCTGAAGTTTCTGTACAATTTGTAACAAAAGCGAAAAAAGCATTAATTGACTGGTGTGTAAAAGAAGAAGGTTTACTTAGTAGTCATAATAAGTGTCCTGTTTGTATGAAGGAAATGCACAAGGTTGAACATAAAGATAAATCAGATATCTTTGAATGGGTTTTTCGCAAGAAAGGTTCATGCAAGAAATGCCACCGGCAGTCTGGCACTACGTAGAATATTTTTGACTCTTATTTTTGTGAATTTATGTGGTGATCGCAGTATGCATATTGTAGTTCAGATAATTTTAGAAAGTTTTCGGATGCTGTTAAGGAATTTTGTGTGTCACAAAATGAAGACACAGAATTTCTAAATATGGTAGGACGACACTTCCTTTTCGTCATATCGTGTATAAGCGATAACATGTATTTCCTTTTTTATGTATTTCATTGTGGGATTTAAGATGCAGTTAAGCTTCGATTGGCTACAAATTTTGTTCAGTTTTGGTGATGAATAACTTTGTTTTAACATTATATGAAGTCATCATTCTCCTGAATATTTTTTTAAGTGAAAATAGATCGATGTGTACAAGGGCAAAGTCTGGGGTGTGCGCAATGCTGAGTTTGTGCAATTTTCTGATGTTTTTTTAAATGAAAAAAAAACAATGTGTACATGGATACCGAGTTTGTGCAATTCTTTGACTTGTTATTTTGGTTTGGTGTAATGTCCATCTTGAAATTGTGCCTTGCTGGCCAATCACCAGTTTTCGCCAAGGGGCGCCATGAAATACACCGAAAAGCGGGGGGAACCCTTTTTACCAAAAAGCAATTTCGGTTAATCTTTGGATTATGGTAACTTGGCGATTTTTTGGCGAAAATTTGGGACCAACTCTGCTAAAGCAACCTGCTAGTTTTTGTTTGGACACCATTTTGTTTTCACGAAGTAAAGACTTTTTTTTTTTTACTCAAAATTTTTTTTCCAACAATCTGCTAGCCGAATTACGCTTATGCTAGAACTTTTATGGAACAAAAGTGCTTAATCATGAAGAAGTTTAGGTGCGAAATTGGAAGAAAGTGCAGAATCGCAAACTGCTTCCCGTGTTTTTAAGAATTGCACATACACGGTAACCATGTTCACGTCGACCTATTTTCACTTGAAAAAAATCCCAGAATTGCACAAAAATGGCATTGCGCACACTCTTGACTTTATCCATGTACACTGCTAAAGTCCTAGCTAGTAACCTTTATCGCCTTACCAAAATGTCCAAACTACCTGTTACCATATTCCAAAGATTAGCCGCAATTTCAACATGTCTCGATTTTTTTGTCTCTTTTGCACTTAATTGCACAAAATTGTTAAAAGCAATATATCCAAACAATATTGTGCAATATTGTGCAACTAGATAAAAAGAAATTGCTGCAAGTATCATCGGATGGACCAATTGTCAATCTTAAATTCCTCAGAGGTTTGAAAGAAAATTTAGCAGATAATGATGCCTGCCATGCATTAGATATTGGGTCCTGTGGTTTGCATGTTGTTCATCGTGCCTTTAGGGCTGGTCATAAAGCTACTGACTGGAATTTTAGTACATTATTTAAAAATATGCATAGAGTATTTAAAGACAGTCCTGCTCAGCGAGCAGACTATATATTGCCATCACTAACTGTACGACTTTTCCGCTATAGTTTTGTGAACTAAGATGGGGTGAAAACATACCTGTTGCTGAGAGAGCTATATTTTTCTTCATGTGAAAAAATATGTAGAATCATCCGAACTACCAAAAACTGTGTCAGTTGAAAGACTGAGAGAAGCTGTTAAAGCTACTTCTGTTAAAGCAGAAAAGCTACTTTTGGCAAAAACCTTTTTTTTTTTTTTTTTAATTTCTGTTGCAGGAGTTCTACATCCATTTCTAAAGTCATTTCAGACAGCTGAATCTTTTGTGCCCCTTTCTATATACAACTTTCCATAGTATGCTAAAGCCCATATCACACGGCGTTTGTTTCACACGAACAACTGTTTTGGACAATTTTTCTGCCTGGTTTACTATTATAAGAAAGATGTGCGACTTTTTCCTTCCTTTCCAAAAAAATTGCAGGTTGTTCGTTTTCAACCAATCATCTATTAGCTTCGAATGCTATCAGCTTGTTTGTAATGGGGAACCAGTTTTTCCCTGCGTTAACCCCAAAGCGATCTGTGTTGATTGGCTGTTGTGACAAAGTGGAAAAATTGTTCCAAACAGTTGTTCTTCCGAAACAAACCGACGTGTGATAGCAGCCTAAGTAATCTTCTCTCCAAATTTGTCAAAAGAGATATATAGAGGCAAAAACTCCTGAAGAACTGATAAAAATAGGTATTTTTCTATTAATGTTTTGTTTAAATATATTAAATGTCTTTATTTTTAATTCTAATAAAAATTTACATTTAACATATATTATGTATGCTTATATTAACGGTTTTGCATCAGGAAAAAAAAAATGCTTTTTTAACCTTTCAGAATTTAGCAAATGTTGAAATATCAATGAGGTGATTGTTTGCCAGTTATATATTATTTAATAAGATAGATATAAATGGGCCCCACACTGCCATTTTGTAAACAATAACTTCCATTCCAGAATATATGTATAATACTTTTTAATATCATTCATGACATAATTTTATCACAATTAATGGTGGAGGAAATCTTATGTTTAAAAGTTTATACATTGCATTGAAAAATCAACGAATTTCATTTCTGATTTTGTTTTAGATGGAACGCATTGTAACGCAATTTCTTTTGTAAATGAAAGTTATTGAGGAAAATCGAAAATAACTCCCTGTTGTTGTCATAATGGTAATTGTTTGGGTAATATGCTTTATATATATGTATATAAGTCATATGCAATTAGCAAATTTTTGTGTTATCAAATGGCACCATAATTAATTTATCTTTAGCACAACTAACGCGCACTACGCGGATAGACTGGAATTTTCTTAAAACACATCTGGAAAAGTCAGAGAATTTCATTCTCCTATTTGAGTGGCAACCCTGGGACAGGCTCAGCAGCTACTGTTATCATTGAGGATGCACCATCTAAGTGTACATCATGATGTGGTACCCTCCAGCAGATAGATTTGTTGATGGCTTTGAGGTTCTCATTCTACAATCTCTTCAAGCTTCTGTACTGTGAGCAAGAAGAAAGGTGGCAAATGAAAAAAGGAATCACTTTCAAAAGCAGGGTTCATATGGTCCTTAAGAGTCCTTAATTTTTTTAAATTGATTTTTGGTCCTTAGCCCCTTAAGGCACACATTAATTTCTAATTTTCGGTCAAAAAATCACCTATTTTTTTTTCTTGCATAATCATATTCTCTAGTGCATTTTAAGACATAATCGACAAATAAAAGTAATTTTTAACTAAAAATTTAATTAAAAAATCTAATTTTTAAATTTGGAATAATTTCACTTAAAGTTGTCTTTTGTTATGCTCCTTTGTATTAGAAAAAGACAACATACAGGGGTACAAGTATAGGCTAATTTAAAAAAAAATATATATATATTATACAAGCAAAGTGAAAACGATTTGATTACATGTTTATTTCGAATTTCAAGTTATATAAAATCAAATTTTCATACTTGCAAAGCATAAGAATGACTAAAAATTCAGTTTGGTATGATATTACCATGAAGCATGGTACTGCACAAAGTCCAACATTACAGTTCCTGCAATAGTATCTTGTTTCTTTCCTTATCTTTTTACCCCTCTCATCTTCTTTTACTGCAACAAACGGCGCAATTTCTACAAGGGGCCGCTTTCTTTTCTGTAGGTGGTACAAATTCGGGAAAGAGCCTTTCGGTTAGTCTCAAGAGGCCCAGGTTGGTTGGTAACCAGGCCGACCTGTTCTTTTGGGTAACACTTTTGAATGGTATTTTTCAATTAATTTTTCCACAAGCATTTTACTGGAATTCCAAATGGTCCCGTTTTCCTCCCCCCCTTTTATTTTTTTTATATATTTTTTTAATAGTACAAATGAATTCCATACGGATATATCCACAAGATGGAAAAATATTTTCTTATAGTACCTTTTTCCTCGTTTTCTGGTTGTTGGGTAATCGTGGAGATGCTGATCAAGCCGATCAACGCCTCCCATTGTATCATTGTAATCAATTACAACTTTCGGTTTCTTTATTTGAAATCAGGAAAATACAAATCAGGAAAATACAAGTAAAACAGCCATCATTGGCTGTTTTACTTGTATTTTCCTGATGTGTGTTATGGATTGTTGAAAGCAAACAGACATCTTTTTTGTCTTTCCACCTCATCGCCATTACTTTTCCTCTCTGAAACGCTATAACATCTCCCTTTTTCAATTTTTTATTTCTAATTTCAGATGGAACTTCTTTCATGGTACTTTTCAGAGTCCCGTAAGGTATCTGTTTGACGTTTTACTAGGAAATCCGCTAATTGTGGAGAAGTATAAAAAAGTTGTCAGTCGTCAAAACAGTACCCTTATCTAATAATGGTTCAATCAGTGGCAATACCACTTGAGTTGATACCGGCATTTCTTCGATATGCATCGCTCAGATTCGTTCCTTTTCCTGGTATATATAATGGATGAATATAAGTAACCCAGTTTTTGATTTCACAAAGAAGGTACATCTTTATTCCGAAACGAGCTTCGCTTCAGTGGTATATATTGCTTCCAATTTCATTCGCCCTTTATACAGTAGTAGACTTTCGTCTATCGTGCAATATCTCTTTCGGGTGTAATATAGAGAAAGAACACTTTTATTTATATGGTCAAATACAGGCCATATCTTATTGAGCTTGGGATGGGGGTGAATCTCAGCATCGTAAAGTTTCATTGTTAGAGAAGTGAAGATATCTTTTTATCTCAGAATAGCGATGAAAGCTAAGGAGTTTCGAAAAAATAGGTGATTGAAAAATTTCACCTTTGGACCAATACATCCTTATCTCAGGCTTTCTAATTATACCTTGTAGTATAATTATGGCTAAAAATATGTATAATTCTTCCATAGTAATCGGTGACCATAGGTTCTGTGATGATCCTGGATGTTGAAATGCATATCTGTTTGTTTCAGTTAGAATTATGTCCATGAGAGAGTTATCAAAAAATAATTCAAAGTATGACAAAGCATCATCGTAATCCGTCAGAGTAAAACAACAGCCAGGGTTAGCTTCAAATCGAAATCTCGGTGGTGAAACGTTTGGTTGATTTATACTAATTTGAATACCAATTTCTTGCTATATCCAAAATCTCGTTGTCATCATCTTCCGATTCATTTCCATCACTCAAGAAATCATCACTGCATTTCATCGCTGAAACTGTCTGATAAATTGGCATATTCAAATTGTCATCATCAGAGTCGCTCATTATCAGATAACTTTTTTAAACAATTACAAAAACACTTAGTAAAATATAATTTTGCAGTTAACTGCTTACTTTTATTATAATTAACGTACATTAAAAATGGATATATATTACCTTTTCCTCACCAAACGACTACTTTATAGCAAAGAATTCCTAGCAAACTTATGGCTAATCATCAAAATGCGCCACGTGGTTTACACAAGAAAAATGCTGAATAGTGGTGCCATCTATGTCAAATAAGTTTAATTATAATCTAGCCTATTTATTTTTACTGGAACGGATCTCAGACAAGCATTAGAAATAAAATAACGCGAGATACAAGGGCGCCCGTGTAAGACACGGGCATGTGCAAATTTGCCGGAAACTTTCGCCCGTGTGAGACAAATGCGTTAAGGGGTTAAAAGTCCCTAATTTCAGCCAAAATAGGCAGAAGGTCCTTAATTTTAATCATCTGAAATTTCTGTTTGCTTTTATGACTGCCATTTTGAGTGTGAATTAGCATTTTGGAGGAATATTTTCGGCAATTCGCTGACAAATATGGTTATTTTTTGAATGCATAAATGTGTTAATGGTTATAATTTGTTCCTATTTCTAATATAGTTAGTTTAATAGACTTTCAGAGCAATAAGTGAAACATAAGCATTTGGAAATTATTTCATTTTTTCTAATGAAGAGCTCTTAAACAACTTTTCGCTTTTGGGGATGTAAATTCTTTTATTTTTTTTTTTTAATTAAATGATTCTAAATTTGAAGACTTATCAACTTTTGACAATTTTAAGATTAGTTTCTATAGAAATTTTTTAATTCCAAGATCTAGGAATTTTTCGACGACTTTTTTTAGAACATTAATAACATTGATAAATTTCATTAAAATAATGGTAATGTGTTGTAATTTTATTTAAGAAATAACATTAATAACATTGATAAATTTCATTAAAATAATGGTAATGTGTTGTAATTTTATTTAAGAAATAACATTAAAGTAAAGCATTTTTATTTTTCGCTGTCATATTATAAATTCCATTTTGGCCACTTATACAATATTTTGAATCTAAAAATAAGCAAGGTATAATCCTATAGCAATGTAATTTACGAAACAGTTCTTAGCAATAGCAAAATAGCTATGTAATTAATTAAAAATGTTTTTTTAATTTTTTTATGGTAAGAGTTTTCCCATGTAATTGTCTCAGAATATGCATCATTTTTCTCTATAAAATTAATTTTACACTTTTTTCCTCCAATTTTTTTTTTTTTTTTTTTTTTTCAAAATATTTCTGGCTTTTTGCTGTTACAGAATTGGTAGGGGTAATTTTTCTTTAGGATTTTAGACATTGCGGCTTGGAAAGATTTGAAGGCAAGATTTATAGACCCACAATTCTAGAAGATTCCAGAAAAATGTGACAAAATGGAAAATGTCTCCATGGTATTAACATGTAATTTCTTACTTTTTGGAGAACGTCTGGAAGAACAATGAAAACATGTGTTTAATGTTTCATTGTTCTTCCATTTTATATGTTGAATGTTTTACTTCTGATACTAGAATTTCTTACTTAACATTTTTATCTTCCCTTTATTTTCTCTACTTTTTACTAGACACAAGCATAGAAAATATCAAAAATGCTTCTAATCATATGGACAGGCATTATAGAAAAGAAGTTTTTTATTAATAAAGAAATTTAAAACTGTCAGTTTAAAAGATTCATCTAATATGTCTTAATGCATCATGCACAGGGCTGGCACTAGGCATTTTCCCACCTGATGCAATATCTGTGGATCCTAAATTCTGCTGCTTGGTGCCTTTCTAAAGTCTGCTTCCAATGCCTGTTCTAAATTCTAAAGTTTTGCCATTTCTAGATTTTGTTGCTCGCTGTGTCACTAAATTCTAAAAATTTGCCACACCAGCTCTGTGACCGGACCTTACCATATATATTTCATATTTCTTCTGAATTTTCATATTGGTAGAGAAATAAAATTAGCAGCTTTTTCTATACATTCTAAATGCTTTTAATTTTTTTTTAGAATAACAGAAATCTTTAATTAAATCCAAAAATTCTAAAATGGAAAGGAAAGGTGGAAGAAAGAAACTGAATACATCATTATACATTCGGTTTCTTAAATAAATTAATTAATAATTCAGAATATTTGGTATAAAGAAAATTATTCTTCAAAGGTTTATTATTATTACATTTATTATTATGTAAATTACCCAGTTGTTTACAATTCCAGCCTTTACTATAATTTCCCATTTCTATTTTCTCACCAGAATACAAATCACCTAGACAGTTTTTAAACTGAGGTTTTTGGAGTGTAAGGCAAGAGTGTATTTCTGACCTCCACATGTTCCTTGCATTAGTTCCTGCCAGTTCTTATAATTTGAAATTATTCGTCTTTGCATAACCACTGCCGACATTTGAATTTGTCATGATAATAGAGTTACTGAGCTAGCTTAAGATGAAATTGAATTGTATAGTCTTTGACCACTAGTCCATACTTTTAGCGTGAATTTGACTCTTCTTGTTTAATTACATCACCATGAGCTGTAATTGACTTTGTTAGCATAAGAACATGCCTTTATGTCTAACTTCTTTTTAAATAAGAAGCTTATTTAAACCTGTATGACTTTATAGTTATTTTCAGACATAGCGATAATTTGCTTCACATCTGTTGGGGGGGTTGGACTATTTAACTTTTAGCAGCTGAAGTAAAACCCTCATAGGTACATTGTGGGGAGGTTGACAGGTTAGGAGATAAAACACACAGACACTAGTGAGAACATTGTTTTGCATACTGAGACAAATTTCTAATTGTTAGACAAAATGCTTAAAGAGAAGGAAATCTATATAAATTAGCAAAAATGTCTGGGAAGGCTTCAAATTAAAAAGATGCATAAATATTTTGTTGAGTGTTGTTGTTACGAAACATAAATGGTTTGTATCTTTTAATGTGTAATTATCTAATATCATTTCAGAATCAATGTCATAAATTACATGTATTTTAAACTGTGAAATTTTATTAGATTGTGATTTTAATAGGGAAGATTTAATAGTGACCTTGTAAATCCATAATGACTAAGCTATCTAATACCTAATTTAATTACTTATAACTAACTGCTTATCTTTAAAAATTATCTCTGCATATTAAAGCGAGTTATTGCCTTTCATCTAACTCTTACCATGGTCACAAGATAAAACACAAAAATGTAAAAATTCAAGTAAAACTTATTCTTCGCATGTAGTGAAACTTAAAATAATGCAGAACAACTTATCACCTCTGGTGCTTTAGTGGATTATTAGAATTTTAAAGTATATTAACTGAGTTACAACCCCTGGAACTCTACATGAAGCTACGATACTAGCTCGTCTGACAGAGCCCAGCTAACTTTCAAGACTTGCCAACCGTGCTTATATTAGGCCTTTCAGGTTTGCTCTGTTGTTCTGATCAGCAGGTCTCTCTGTAGGCAAGCAGGAGTGGTGTCAACAGCCAGTTTTTTTGTTTTGAATCATGCTTAATGGGATTTTACATCTCATTTTAACCTATGACATTTGACATAAAATCTACCTGCTATTTATTAAACCTCTAGACTAAGTATATGCCAAAATGAGACATAAAAGAAAAAAATCAATATAAAGCTAACTGTTAGTAAAACGTAAATAAAATGTCCCTAATCCTCCTTCAAACTATTACTTATTTCAGACTATCTTCAAACTATCTCCAACTATTATACATGTAAAATATTTAATGCTGCCTGATAAACTTTATGAAGTAGATGTTATTCTCAAATTTGTTTTATAGTTATGTTTAATAAGAATGCATCCTACTTATGGATCTATTTTATTCTTGGTTATTACAAAAATGGAGTTCAGACATAAGATGATTGAATTTTATTTGAATTTATTCAGCTCCCATTTGCTGATAGGTCCTTAATTTGTTTTCATTAATGGTCCTTAAAAGTACTTTCCATGTGCAGAAATGTGTACGAACCCTGAAAAACCATCTGCTTACTTACAGCCATGAGGCCAGAGTAATATATATCTCCTTGCAGCATTTTTGTATAGAAAGTACAGGACACACAGTTACTTAATGTGCTGAGTTTATTAGGATTTTACTCATCATGTGCGGAAGGCACATGCTTTTAAATGTCCTTTGTCATCTAACCACATCTGAATCTTAATCAACAAGCATTTTCTCAAATGGTGTTTGATAATGCAGGCTTTAGTATGTGAACTATTGAAGCAACATTTCCACTCGATGGCTTGCATCCTTTATGTGATTCTGTTATCCCACATAGTTTGGTTAGAGTATATATTTTTAGCAGGAAGTATTGGATGTGACTGCTTCATTGAAACTGATGCCCACCCTAAAAACTCTCAACTCCATCAACACAAGATCCCTAACACAGAGCAATCTGAAAGATGATATACCAAGTCTCAGGATGACCAGCCTGGTCCTTCCTGAGGAAATACGAAAAAGCTATTCTGAGGCCTTATGCAGGTATAAACTTCATATACAAATTCATTCCAGGACATTCTGTCTTTTATATCTCCTTTTCACATCACTCCACTGCTCAAACTGACTTTTTCATGCAAGTTATAAGGCATCTGAAACTCCATTCTTTCTCTTCTAGATGAATCCCTGGAAATGTTGTAAACATGTGACATGATATTTTACCCTAAAATGTAAAACCTTTAATTACTTTGATATGAGAATTTTTTTTTTTTTTTTGTAAGTAGCATTTAATTTCAAACGTATTTTCCTTCACCAATTTTATTTTCCTTCACTATTTACTCTACATAACCAATTGTAGCTTGTAGCAGAGTACAAATATACAAGCTTAACAAATGCCCACTGACATGGTACCTTATTAATGTTTGACAATTTAGAGTACAAAATAAGTCTACTGTAACATAATTTCACTCAAAAACATTCAAGTTTTATTTACCATTTGGAGATGAAGCAAGGGGAGTAGTAGTATGATTTCTCATAAACTAGTGTGTCCGCTAGACCACATAGTCACTGATGTTCATTAATTTCATTAATGTGACCTAGGTGTACCAAACTTACATAAAATAATTAGTTTCAGGTATATTATTTTGATATTAGGGCAATACTATGAAACTATCACCAAGCAGCACATTTAAGTGTCAGTTATGATAAACATGACATAACAATGCACTCATAACATCTCCACTTTTGTTTGATGTAACCCCAATTATTTCTCAATAAGCTATGTTTTTGCCTTTATGAACAAGGATATAAATTAAATTTTATTGCTTTACTTTTTCTTGCATTAAAAAATTTGGGTTCTGTTTTCTACAGAATAGTAAGCAGTGAATTATTTTCAAAGTTATGTGATCCTACCATAAAAAAAAGTCTGCATTAATAGATATGATATGGTCAGCTGAATATGGCTGACCAGCACTAGACTGGAGCAATTACTTGCAGGAAATTTGTAATCATAGCATCATAAACATATCTTCTGGTAAAATTTTAGAACCTAACAAAACAGTAAAAGTCAAGAAAATCCTTTTCCCAAACACAAAGTGAAGGAAATGGAATACTTGTTGTTTATTAAATAAAGGTACATTCAGTTCCTTTAGAATTCTACAGGGATGATTAATGCAAATTTGGTGGGATTTCTGCCAGCTTTTATAGCTTGATAGCCAACTTTTGCTGTAAAACTGATAATACATAACTACCGAAAATAATTATTTATTTGTTAATGGTGTATTTGTGCTAAAAAGTTTAAATCATGGCTAGTTTTTACAAAACACTTGAGGCAGAGTTGGTGTGTTGTTATGGTGTAGCTAATGATAGACATATTGTTCTTATAACAGTATAGAAGTTATGATACTAATCGCTAGCAGTTATTACAGTTTGCATTTAATGTGTCTTAAGAAAGACTGCAATAAAGCCAGGATTAGAATTGTGTTGTTATTGTTCCTAATCTCACTTATCTGAATCAGAACAAGTCCACAAATTATTATCGTGGCAAGGAGTACTAAACTGTGTTTATCATTAGCCAGAGCTTTGAGCACAATTTAGGTAATAGTGTGTGTTTGCTCAGTTCTGCTCAATTTTTGAAGGAGACCACCCTAGGGCACAGGTCCGAGGGTCTCCCACTCCTCATCACCTATCACCAACCTTTCAAGAGGACTTTTGGCTTGCCACATATTTTAAATGCCCAGCTCTTCAGTACAGTAGTCAGTGTCGCTAACCGCTTTCATCTGGCTAACATCAAATTTGTAGTTGGATGAACACAAAGTAAGAAAATAATATTTGTGAAAAAAGTTAATATATTTATGTGAACTAAATAACTTTGTGTTAAAGCAACCATGTTTAGTCATAAAAACCGACAAACTTAGTTGTGATGGGTGACATTTTGGCTTATGCAGTAGCTCTTTGAACCTATCTGTGATGGGTGACATTTTGGCTTATGCAGTAGCTCTTTGAAGAATAAATGCAATGAAACTCTTTTATAATTTGTACATATTTGATTTTCTAAATATTTCATTTCATTAGGTTTTTTTTTAATGTATGTTATTTGAACATTTAATAAAGTTTCTTTGTTATGCAGTTAAATTTATCTCTGCATATATTTAACAAGAATTAAAGGTATTGATTGTTTTTTTTTCTTTTAGATCCACTACAAATACACTTTGCATTCTTTAATCACTAAATGATTTGTATAGGCATGTATGTCTAATGTCTGATACGAAGCCATCCAAGCTTCCGGCAAAGAATGTCATTCAAGGTATTGGCATATGTACTAAAATTTCATTTTTAATTAATTTTTTCAGTATTTAATTGTAATACTATGTACAAGAACTGAAATAATAACCATTCCACTATGTGTAATTTTGAATATGATATTAGTATATTCAACAATGATTTCTAATTACACTGCTGTTCCAAAATAACAAAGAAATGAATGTCATAACAAAGTTTATTTCGAATTGTGGTATGAATCGAAGGGCTAATTTTAGTAATTTTGAGGTTATCTGAAAATTATTATTTGTAAGCTTTCTAAAGGGTCTCCTATAAAATTACATTTTCTACAGCAGTTCAGACAAAGGTAAAGGCACCAGTAGTTGACCAGCTAAGGGAAATTTCTCGTTCACTTGTCAACAGTATTAGCTGTGGAGACAGTAATTAATTTTTTCGTAGTTAACACCGAATTTCGTAGCAGCTTCTCTTATTGGTGTTTTATGTAGTAAAACATCATTCACCGCTTTTAATGAAGTCTCTTCTGTATAATTTTGAAAATTATCTTTCATAGGAGGCATCATGAAATTCGAATAGCCTAAAAAGTAAAAAAAGTAAGGTAATTCAGAAGTTGACCATGGTGGTCAACTACTTGAAAAAGCAGTGATAAGGACTTGCTAATTTCTGGTGTTAAGGTAAACACATTTTCCTGTAACATTACACTGGGTCCTACGTTGAAAAAAAGTTTTTTTAAAACATCAGTCAACTTCTGAACATCAACAATTAGTAGATTCAGTAGTTGACCACAGTAAAAAAATAGATAAAAGGATGAGTAAAACACATAATTCACGTGTCATTTAGGTCAATGAGAAGAAGTTGACCATGTTTAATTGTTCTTCTCATTTAGTCATGAACTTAATAAATATTTGATTGCCGAATTGAATAATACAAATAAATAACTGTACTTGCACAAAAACCAAAGTCGATCCCTAACCAAAAGTGGTAATCAGGCGGCAAGAATTAGCAGTATCTGGGAGAGCACAAGTTTCACTGTCAACCATTGCTTAACTGATAGGCATATCAACTGGGAGTTGATAAAATGTGATACTAGATGGCAATAGCGTCTTATAAGCAGGTTTGCACAAGCGCCAAACCAAAATATCCCTTATTTTGAAGCTTTTCCTCTGAAATGGTCAACTACTAGTACAACTACTAGTCATGGTCAACTTTTGGTCCCTCTACTTTACTGTGTAATTTAGTACAATTAATGATTTTAGTTTGAAAGCAAAAGTTATAGGCATTTGTATAATACATTTTATATATTGAAAATTTTCAAAATTATGTAGTTTTCTGCAGCTAAATAGAATCCAAGCATAGTAACAAACTGAAATGCAGCACTTGTGTAATATTAAATAAAAGCACATAATAGTATTTTCAGTAAAACAAATCTTAAAAGCCTAGCATATTTTTACTAAATCAAAATTAATATATAAAATTTAAAACATAACAGAAATGCACTTATCCCGAAGTATTATATTTGATGGCACACTTATTCTTGTCCTTTTCAGATTTTTCAGTACTATGTTGTAATTTTTCATTTAAAAGTACAGTCTGATTTATTTTTTGAATTACTTTTTTTTTATCCCTTTTCTTAAATGTTTTCCATCATGAAAGTTTGTTATTTAAAATCACATAATTTCTTTTCTTTTTTGACTTTCTCCTCTAGGTTATTTTTACTTACATTTTTCACTCAGATTTTCACATTTCTTGCTTTTTTAGCATTAAATGCTGTAACTAATTTGTTGAATGTTTAATTAATTTATTAATTCTTCTACTAGGATGCAAAGATTTCTTAACTCTCCATTAATTCATTGAGGATATTAAAGTATTTTTATTAACTTTAAAAATTTTTTGCAGACATTGGCATGCACAATTAAATCTTCAATGCAACTGACACAGTTGAAGAAAATGTGCTCCAAGTTTTTTTCATAGACACACTGAAATATTGTTAACGTAACTGTTAGCAATTTCTTGTAACTTGGAGGTGCGGATAAAACTTATTTGAAACATTTATATCTTTTCAGTTTCGTTTAAAGTGTTTAAGAGATTCTCCAAGCTTTTTGTAACAGCTGTTAGATATTTCTTATTTTTTTGCAAATTTTGTAAATCGCAAATAACATTGAACACATTGGAGCAATAATTTAATTGTTTAATTGTTCTTCTCATAAAAGACATGTCTGTTTCAACAATGAAAACATTTACTCACTGTTAATTTTATTACCTTAAAATGGGTACTATCCTTCTCCCGAAAAAAGCCTTTTTGCTTTTCTACTTGCACCCTTGCTTGCAGAAGAATGTTTCGTTTTTGAATTTTTGCTCTAAAGATGTAATCAATTCATTTGTTTCTTCTTTAACATTTTAAAACCCATTTACTTTAAACACTTCATTTGTACATAGTATTGTATTTAGAACTTTCACTAATTGTTTTAGCTGTATTAATGCTTTCCTTTTGAATCTATTTATTGACATGAATAAGAATATTATACCGTTAACATAAGGCATAAAGAAAATTTAAATGCTGTGGTTCAGTTCTCGCCTTCCAGTTTGCTTCACAGGGTAGTTTAAGTGTCAAGTGCATATGAAAAATCAGGATTTCTTAGCATTTTCTAGATGCAAAAAATTCTGTAAACAATCGATTCAAAAAAAAAAAAAAAAAAAAAAAAGCAATTTTGGAGGATTTAACTGCATTGCTGACAACAAAATTTGTGCTACAAATAGAATAAGGTATAACAAGCTCTTGTGTTTCCTAGAAAATTAAGGGTTTCTGTTCCAATATTTTTAACCTTTCATGTGATTTCCATTATCATAAGATTATTCACAGCAGTCTGCAAGAGAAATCCCAATTTGGAATTCCCAAGAAATCCAATATATGGAGCTATAACTTAGTTGAGACCTTTTCTATTATGTATATTATCTTCACTTTTGTAAAATTGAAAAATTCCTAAATGGTAACTCATCTAAACGCACAGGTACCATTCACAATACAATTCTGTGTAACTGTTTTATTTTGAGTATCTTGCTTAGGTGTATAACCTTCTCCCAAGTTTCACTGCTGTTGAAGATTTTCGCTCAAGTGTTGTATTGGGCCGTTAATTCAACACATCCTTGAAAATTCCCATTGACACAATTTTCTAGCTTGCCTTGATCTCCCTTCAAAGCAAAATTTATTTCTGCTAGAAACCTAATGCTAGAGAAATCTGTGTAAATACAATTTCGGTTTGTTTTCTTCTTCCTCAGTTTGGTCTTATGTTCCTTTAAATGTCTTTAATTTTGAGTTTTGTACTCTTAGATACAGTTTGCAGATATGATATATGGGATTTTAAGATGTTCATGATTAGAGAGAAGCTTTCAGTCCTTTCGTACCTGTCTCAGAAGACAGCCACAGTTAGAAATTAACTACTCATAACAGTAGCAATGTAGAGCATCAGTTTTGTGAGTATGTGAGCTGATAATGTTTCACCTTCTCACTACAAACAGTGACAAAAAGCAGTGATAAACACTAAAATGTCTTGTTTCTTATGGGAAATATCAGTCTCGTCATCTACAAGGCATTCAATAAATGAGCTAAATCTGAAATTATAGTGTACAATTTCTGTTCAAGTTCCTGGAAAGCTTAAGTTGATTATGTATTGACAATAATAAAAATTTTTGTAATTTTTCTTCTGTTTTCTGGTGTTGACAACTAGTCAAGCTATTGTTTTTGGTCACATACAACTGAATCCAAAGTTGCTTTTACTATTTCATCTGCTTTCTCTATGTTAGATTCTTAACTTAACAAATATTGTTTCCCAGTAACGTATCTTTATAAATACCTGTCTACATGAAGCGATTTTCTCAGCCGACTTTCTCGCAGAGCAACAACTTTAAGGATCTACGCATGCGCCAAAAATTGGTCATGTTCTCTGCTGCGATTTCAGAACTGGTGTTCACTGCTCACTAGCGTACGATAAAATCAGAGTCTCTAGCCAATAAGATCTTGGTGTCACTGCTTTTCATTGGAATAATAACTGTTGCATTCGTGAGCAACTCAATTTTCAAAAATTTCTATGAGAAAAATGTGGGACTAGTAAGATTTAAAATAAAATTAGGATTCCTTATTTGTAGCTTGTCCCCATTTTATACGAGGGTATCCAGAAAGTAGATTACGTTTTGGAATAAAAAAATAAACAAAGTATAGGAAACAAATTTTATTATATACAGATGAAAGCCACACTCAAATACTACTTTTCTACATAGTCACCATACAAATTAAGGCATTTATCGTAGCGATGTACGAGCTTGGAAATTCCTTCGTCGAAAAATTCGGCCGCCTGCGCCTTCAACCACTTCGTTACCTCTTCTTGCAGCTGTGCGTCGTCATCAAAACGCTGCATAGCCAGCCACTTCTTCATTGCTGGGAATAGGTGGAAGTCGCTCGGTGCCAGGTCGGGACTGTACGGCGGATGAGGAAACAACTCCCACTTAAAAGATTCAAGAACTTTACGAGTGACATTTGCCGTGTGGGGCCGGGCGTTGTCGTGAATCAACAAGATCTTAGAGCTCAACATTCCTCTGCGCTTGTTTTGAATTGCTCTTCTGAGTTTTTGGAGAGTTTGGCAATACCTTTGAGAGTTTATTGTAGTGCCTCTTTCCAGGAAGACCACCAAAATTACACCTTTTCTGTCCCAAAAAACAGTCGCCATCATCTTCCTTGCCGACATTGTTTGCATGCATTTCTTGGGTTTTTGGGGAGAACTTGTGTGCCCCCACTGCATTGATTGCAATTTCGTTTCACAGTTCACATGTTTCACCCATGTTTCGTCACCAGTAACGATGCGATCGAGTAAAGAGTCACCATCCTTATGGTAAGCGTCCAAAAAGTTCAACGCTGCAGCCATTCGCTGATTTTTGTGGTCCTCTGTCAAGATTTTTGGAATCCATCTTGCACAAAACTTGTGGTAACCAAGCTTTTCGCTGATGATTTCGTGCAACAAACTTCGCGAAATTTGT